ATATTTTACAATTGATGTGCAGTTGGGTTTAGGCTCTTACTCGGTCATATCTGTTAAAATCATAACCTACACTGACATTGAAAGTGATACTGATGTATTTTAAGTCTTCACCTCAAAAGCTTTACCATCATCTACTTTTTCTGTTCGTTTTGTCATTTCTGCTCCAAAACAAACAGAAAAGCTTCAGCGTTCATGTCTGAGGTGCAGCACTTAAGCATAAAGGTGGCACAAATAAATGCAGGAATAAATTCTTCCTCAACGTTACTATGGAGAAGCATTTTCACCCTATGAATGTGAAGAATAATTGTAAAGTGTTGTAGTGCAGTTTGGTTCAAATAATCTAGTTCTGTGGAAAAATTGAGATAATGAAGAGAAAATTAACTTAAAAAATCAACCTGATATCAATCTCCTTTCTGGATCTGTTGTTGTGACACAAACGCTGCTGAAATAATTACAGTCTGACCACTGAATGACTATCAGCTGTTCTCTTTAAGATGGGCATGAGCAGACCATGACTGGGCAGGTGTGAGCAGGCCCCCTGACTGCACTGCTGTGCGCATTCCGTCCAGAAAATCCAATTGCTCAGATGACAATCATGCGAGCAGACCAAACCTCCTGTGAAACGAAAGAGCTAAAGCAAAAGCTGTGATGCAGGTAGGCAGGCCCACCACCATCATACCTCTTTAAAACCAGCATGCTAAAGGCTAAGCGTCCTCTTTCGCCTGAGCAACACAACTTTTAGGAGAAACAATTTCCATGTGGAATCTCCTGGAAGTAAGTCTACGGATAGGCCTCTTCCTCTATCCTGCCATCAGAGCCTCTGGCTGCAGTGTCTCATCGCAACCCCTACCCTCTGTACCGTTGATGAGAAAACAGAGCCAACGCCTTGGTTAAGCAGCTGTCCTGTTCTACTGAAATGGGACCATCCCTGTGAGAAGCCAGCGTTGCAGTGAGCTTTTACGGTGTGAACTGGGAGGTACACATCCTGAGGAAGCCGTCATTTCACAACATCAATTAAAGCTCATCAAATTACCTTGGTG